ATTGGACAAGGGTGGTCAGGGGTGACCAGACATAACAACTTCTAAGGATGTTATCTTGAAGTTTTTACTCGTTGTAGAATATTCAATTTAAGCCATAACTATTGACTTTTGATGATTGAGCTCGTCACCATAGAACTATTGAGGACAAATTGAATATTTAACCCTTCTAGTAGTATCTAATTCACATAAAATATTACTGTAAGCGAGTTCGAACCCATGACCATTGGACGATGGTGAAACTTTCACCTGCTATTGAAGTCAACTAAGATACCACCTCGGTGGTGGTGGTAGGTTTAGGGCTTTGTAAGACTGATTAGTGAGCTCATTTTTCTCTGCATGCATTATTCTTTATACCAAAGCCAATAAATACAAATATAGAAACTAAAACAAAGGGACAACTACAAACTAAAACGCTATACTTTAACATTGTGTTTGTGTGTGTGGATGTATATATATATGTGTGTGTGTGTGTGTGTGGATGTATATATATATGTGTGTGTGTGTGTGTGGATATATATGTGTGTGTGTGTGTGTGTGTGTGTAAAAATATACATATAGCAGTTGAATAGCCAACATCAATGTGATGAGGAGTTGAACAACCAAACTTTTGTAATAAACTAACTGAAGACAATGATGAATGTAACCATTTTATATTATGGCTCTCATTTACTTTTGTCTTCCCAAGTATTTATATTAACACGTTACCCCCTTAACTATTCAAAGTTTTTAAAAATATTTTGCATAAATAGTTAGACTTACAATGGCCGATGCATCATTTTATGAATTATTATTATATGCAAATTAATTATTTTCGTCCAAAAATTTCAAGAGCAATGCTTCGTAGACTTAAAAAGTAGATTTGATAATTACAATCATTAATTTCACTGTGAGTCTCAGCATTTATTGTGATTCACTACTTATTCAATAGTTGAGATTTATGAAGTCTAATTTTTAAATCCATCTACCATTACTCAAATTTCAAAGCCAAAACTTGTATCTCTTAAAACTAAAAGTTTTTCATTAAGAAAACTTTGCATCATAAATTTTGAGTACTACCATTATAAATGTAATTGTCCGGCAAAATCCTCATTAGATAACATGTTTAATTTCTCATAAAAAAATTAAGATTTTTAGTATCTCCAATAGACTATTTATTTTCATTCAACTCTCTTAGGCTTTTTAGTTAATCTCTTCGGAAACCAAAGAAACAGGATCATTTGGGGATTACGAGAAAAAGGTTTATACTTCCGACAGCTGTTGAACGTTTGTTCACTTGCGAAAATATAGAACTCAATTTGAGCTTATAAATTTGGAGAGCCCAATGTACTCTTTATTCTATTTCAATGAATGAAAAGATTACACATATATATTATTCGTTGAATGTTATTTACTATAAGACTATTTTGCAATTAGAATAAAGTCCCATTGGAATTATCTAAAAATTTTCACTCTTTATATCAAATTTTCATCAAAGATGCTCTCTATTTTTTTAAAAATGCTCTTTAAAAATAGAAAGTACTATTAAAGATGCTATTAGAAAGTTCGATTTTCAAATATTCGATTTTGTGACATATCGATTGAATGGATGAGTACGCACCCTAATAATAATAGAAGTGTTTCGTGTATATTAAGAATGAGATGATAAATTTAGATGGCTACATAAAGATGACATATCGCTTGAATGATTGAGTACGTGATGACCCAACTTTCATTCACCTTTTTAATAATAATGGAAGTGTTTCACATATATTATGAATGAGACGATGTATTTAGATGGAGGAACAAGACGGAGACTGCTCTGAATTCAGGAGGCAAAGCAAAGAGAAAGGCCCATGTTTGTTTCATGTGAGTATTGTCCCCATTCCATGTGCATTCATGTTCTCTCTCTTACAAGCCCTTCCCTTTAATCACTATACCTTCTTCTTTCCCTTCCATTAATTCACATGACTTGGAGATTGGGCCCTTCTGCTTTATCCTAAAGAGATGTGGCTTTTGTGCATGACTTGTCACACAACCTTTGTGGTTCTAGAAATAATAAAGTTTTTATCGTTTTGTTCATCCAATTTTTTTTGTTTTTTTTTTTTCCAAAAAAATATGGGCAAATTTTATTTTGTATCTTGAAAGATTTAAAAAAATTTATTTTGTACCCCAAAGATTAGATTTTTTATAATGCACATTCAATATATTAAAAATGTGGTAACGTGACAATTTCGTTACTTTCCGTTATTTATTTCGTCAACATCAATGAGGTAATTTTTTGACGGAGTAAACAACAAAAGTTAAAAGAAGGGTCATATTACAATATTTTTAATATATTGAAAGTGCAATGTGAAAAATTTAATTTTTGAGAGAATAAAATAAAAATCGTAAATTTTTTTCGGGGTGCAAAATGAAATTTTTCCCAAAAGTATTTTGTCTATTAACAGTACCTAGCTATGCAATTTGGTCCAACTTTACTAACAATGAGAATTAAACCCCAAGTACATAAAACTAGTAAAACTACTTTTGCTTTTAATAATTTTTTTCCCAAATTTCTTATTTAATGTTTGATATTCCGGCTTAGTGACCTTGTGATCCATTTACTTACCTCCCCCCCCCCAAAAAAAAAAAAAAAAAAAAAAAAGGAACAGCTAAAACATTGTGATTCACTTAAAAATAATGTGAGAAATCTAATATTTGAGTCTGTAATGTGATAATGTTTAAATCTTTTAGGGTACAAAGTGCAATTCATCCCCCAAAAAATTGTTTTAAAATTGCATCGTATGATCTTACTTAATGATGTCCATATCTCGATCGTATTGAATTTCATGGATTTGAATTTCATCTCACCATTCAAATCTATTGTTGGAAGCCATTGAACCTAATCACTAGCATAATTCGTACTGTGATTGAACCCCTTTACAACACTAACTTTTTCATTTTCCTCTATCTATAACCTTTTCAAGTTGAGTCAATTACAAATTGGCCCGAATCTAAATATATATACTCAAACTCGACAAGTAGAGATATAAATTAACACCTATAACTACAAGTGGTTAGGGATTTCATATGTTAAACCTGTGACACAAATGGCCAACCATATAAGTATATAATATAAACCTACATGACTTAAGTTTGATCTTCTTGGCCGAACAAAATCCAAGTGCGTAATCAGTTGGTAATTCGATATGTGTATCTGAGATTTGCAACTATCCGAGGCTTGCATTGTAACTTTTTTTTTTTTAAACATGAGGATTGCATTGTACGAAAAATTTCAAATTGCATGTGGCTGAAATGATTTTCTATTATCCCACAACAAGCAACGAGACAACACATTCTGCGTACATAATTTACTAGCACTCCATACAATGGGACAAGTTACAGTTGTTGTTCGGAAAATGAAGATACAATACAAGTGATATTTCACTCACTAAGTTGTCGAAATAGGGTGAATAGAGGTGATAAACTTCATAGCAAAAACACTAAGATAGAACAAATATTCTTACTAATGGAGAAACTTTTTGAACCAAAGAGCAGAATATTTGGGGTATCTCTTAAGACCATCAAGGTAGTCTACATAGCAGATACCAAACCTTAGGGTATAGCCAGACGCCCATTCAAAGTGTTGGGTTTCCCTCCTTTGTGGGACTCATCAATTTGCTAATTTTTTGGTGGCTTATCCGTGTATGACTCTTATCCAAGACTTGGTTTGGAGTCTTCTAGTTAAAAAGGAATTTGGCAGCCACCAAAGACTATAAGTTTTGTCTTTTTCTTTGGTTCATCTCTTCTCGGTTGGTTAGGCAAGAAGACATATTTTCGGCAGTCTTTGGTTCAACAAAAATTTAGCCTTCTTCTTCTCCTTTTTGGTGCCAGAAAAATCTGCAAATTTGTTCTTCAAGTGGGTAACATTTCTTCACTTGATATTTGGGTTTCTTGCGGTTTGTTCTTGGAGATTTGGTTCACTTATTTTGTGAGGTATTTTCCTCTTGTGATTTACACCTTGGTGTGTTTGTAAGGCTTATGCCTTTTGGCTACTTTGTAATCTGATTTGGTGATAGTGGAAGAAACTGACCTACCGGTCGTCGTGGATGTACCTCAAGTTATTTGAGGGAACCACGTAAATCTTGTGTGCTTATTTATTTTCTGTTATTTTATTTATATTACTTCCATTGATTTACACTTGTGGAAAAGCCTATTTTCCCAACACAAAGGTGTCTAGGAATGACCATGCGAAGAACCCCTTGACATTGGCACCAACCTGCCAATATCATATCATCACCATAGGGTTTCTTTAACAATCAAAATAAAGAAAACCTTAGACATCCTATAGTTATTTTCTTCTGTCAGATGTCATAATGGTCTTTAAAATATGTGTCTCGTCTCACTTTGATCCGTATTCTTTAATTGTGCCATTTTAGTGTCTATAGTTTGGAACATTTAAATGGTTCAATGGATGACATAAGCTAGACTTGTAGTGGAAATTAAAATACTAAGTGCCCACTTTTAGCCCTCAAAGTATGTCTGAACTGTTGCTATGATTCCTCGACCATTATCTTTGTCAATTACATTCCTAGAATGCATATGGAATTTTTCTAATTACCTTGAGCCACGCGTGGTATTTTTGCAGAAGTGTTTTAAGGACCATCAAATCAAGTTGAAAACATTGTAGATGTCACTGACAACACTAATAGTTGAGGGATCAAATTGACATTTCTCATACATTTCAAGGGGCAAAGCGGATTTTTTTTGCAAATAGGATGTTCTATCGATCGGATCGTTTAGACTCAAATTGAAAATTCAAAAAGTGAGGTGTACACAATTGGAGGGATAAAGACCAAAGTGAGATGATGTATGTTTTTATAGAGTAAAAATGTATCTTGCCATTTTTTTTTTTTTTTGGTTTTTGTTTCGGTCTAGAGAAGTTGGAAGTTAGCTATTGAGAAAACTTATGTATTAAAGCCCTAGTGAAACCCTAAAGTGGTTCAATAATAGAAAAACACCTAAGAGCAAGAAGAATCAACTCACTTAATGGCTTCCTCAACTGCCGAAAGGTGGCGATGGTAGAAATCTATCCTCTGCATATCCTTGATGCCTTCCTTAGTCGTACTGTTATTGGCGTCACCAATACCTGAAAATAATCAAAGAAATGAACTTGAAGTTATCGAGGATCGATGATGTTACTTATAATTCAAAATTCTGTCATATAATTGTGCATGATTGATGAAAAGGAGATTATTTTTTGCCTACCATTCTCAGTAATGTAAATGGTTGGATTGTTGTATTTCTCCTTTGTGTAGATCAGAAGATTTCGAAGTCCTTTCGGATAGACGAAAAAGGTACTCACCCCTGTCTGCAGATCATTTGTCACAGGTTGTGAAATTGAGGTATAGTTGCTGCTACACTAGTTACCAAGTAAAAGTATGTATTGTAATGTCACACTTGCCAATTTTATTTTCATTTTCCCCATTAATTTGAAGATTAAAAGTTGTATATTGTACCCTGAATTTCTTTAAAATGGTAGTAACGTGTCCATATTTCCATAACTTAGGACACGAATTCATGAAAAGAAATGGTGAAAGGGGGCACGTTTCTACCATTGAGGCATTCATGCTGCTGTCCCCTTTTTTGTAAAAGGGCCCGACTTCTTTTCAGAATTAGAGTTCGACCGCAGCTGCCTTTTTTTGTTTTGGGATCAAGTTCCTTGCCAACTATTGACTCCGATCTCTAATCATTTGTTTTGAGTATTACCAAATCTAACCTAGCCTTCGTCAATCACACTAAAGCAGAGTACCCAACTATGGCAAGGCCTCCTTAAGGGTTAGGTTAGTCAATCCGATCACAGACGATGAGATAAAACACAGTTTGGTTTTTATTAATAGGGTTTTGAAAGGAAATCAAGGGATACTTTTGTTTAGTGAGGTGCCTAAAAGCGATAGTATAGGTACAAATTCAACATTTCACATTCGTTATACAGAGTGACTGTCTTCGGGTTTGCAAACACCATCTTAAGAATATTGGGCTGATTTACTATGGAACCGGGGCAACATTACTACCATTTAAATGCATTTAGGGTACAATACAAAACAATTAATCCTTGAGGAATAAATAAACCTCATAGATCTTTAAGGGGATACAATGTAATTTGTATTTTTTTTCCATAAACTTTCTTCATTAACTAATACAGACTGGCCCGTTGGATTAATTAGTTCCATTGGATCATGTTAATAACAAATGGTTATGATTGGACCACGTCAATTAGCAAAAAAAGCTGGTGACAGCAACATTATTGTCACTAGACTTACCGAATCACCGATGGGTTTTCCATTTTTCTCCGCTGTAAAAAAAAAAAAAAAAAAAAAAAACCATTATGTACATTGTTGACTGAATATATATATATATATATATATATATATATATATATATATATATATATATACATATAGCTGCCTTGACTAAGGTGTGTTGTCGTTAACTCACTTGAAAGGTGAACTTGAGAATCTGTTGAGCTGCTGACATTAATAGTATTAGGAAAACGAACATTAGCTGCATAATTTGCAGTGTAGTAGTTTAGTCCCAGGAAGTCGAAAGACCCTTTCAAAGACACTGCTTGTTCAATAGTGAATTTTGGCAACCGTTTCCCGACCAGTTTGTGCATGCTTTGAGGGTAGTCACCATATACTAATGGGTGTATGAACCTGTTTACAATATGATGAAACAGGAATCAGAATCTACAACCACTATATGTGTTCTATGTTTGCGTGTTTTTTTTTTTTTGTTCAACGGTGAGGAGTATCCGAGTCAACTTACACAAATTTAGACTAATCTCCTCTACCATCCGATCAAAGATAAATCATTTGTGCCAAAACTAAGTTATTCACGAGGTATAAATTCCATCGGTGTTGTGAGAGATTATTTTGTCATTGAATAGCTTTGGGTAAATTTCATAAATACCTCTTGAACTATGACTTTTGTTATAAATTATACCCTAAATTTTTAATTATAGCAATTTGCCCCTTGAACTATGTAATTTATTTCAATCGAACCATTCCATTAAGATTAACTGATAATTGAACAAATTTCGTTAAGATTTAAGCTCTAAATGAGATAAACTCCATTATGATTACCCGTTAATTTGTCTAATTTAATGGTTGATCTTAACGGAAGGGTTCGATTGAAATAAATTACATAGTTCAGGGGATAAATTGAGGTAGTTGAAAGTTCAGGGACAATTTAAAACAAAGGTCATAGTTCTAGGGACATTTTTGAAGTTCACCTAATCTGAGAAATTCAATAACTTAAGGGGCAAAGTGAAATCAGGTACCATAGTTTAGAGGGTCAAAGTGTAATTTCTCTTATTGTCTTCACATCTGTGGATTCTATGTGCATCATTATCATTGTCTCATGCACTTACCATCCATACATGAAATCCAGGGCTCTTTGCGCTGCTCTAATGTCGGATTTGCTGGTGGACTGAGGCACCATCCAGTGAGACACTAGTGTTATCCCTATTTCACCCTTTTGAGATGCCTGCATTACACCACCATCAAAATGTTATATTAAGGAGAATTACAAAGGGATTTTCAACTGGTTTCAGTATAGTACGGTAACTTACGAGTCGGTCAAATTAAATTGCGACTCAAATAGCTTTAGTTTTAAGTCAGTGAGGTCGCGATAAAAAAAACTTTGAATTGATCCTTATTTGTGTTTGACCCTAAACATTTTTATTTTACAAAATTTTTTGCTTTGACCTCGTTGAGTTGTAACTTGACGTAACCTACTAGACCATTAAGGTACCTGGAATTTCTCCTTGTATAGTTTGACGGTTGCAGCATGGCAAAGGAGCATATGGTGGCCAACCACGTACGGTTCCGTCGCTGAGTTTCCGGCCGGACACCCATTCGACATCCAAGCAGAACACCGTCCGGGAGCAAGGGTGCCGGTGTCATAACCGCTGTAGATGAAAATAGATGGCTCATTCATAGTGATCCAATGCTTGACCCGATCACCAAATTCTTTGAAGCAAAGTTCTGCAAAATCTCGAAAATCGTCCCTGTCATTCCGAAAAATCTTTGGATTAATGACTTGTGATGTGTCATTGACATAATAATCTTAATAAAAGAGGACAAATTATAGTTTTAGTCCCTAAACTATGTCCCTCATGCCACATTGCCCCTAAACTATTTACTTTATGGTATTACATCTTAAACTATTGGTTTCAATTCCGAATTGCTTCGATCATTAACTTTGTCTATATTTTCATAGCAAATCAGAGCAACGAAGAGGAAAAATTTTCATTTTTGCTCTAATTTACCATGAAAATTTGGACACCAAAATTGGGATAATGTGACATTTAAATCAATGATTTAAGGATTAATGTGAGGAAATAGATAATTTAGAGGGCAATATGAAATGTGGAGCATCATTCAGGGGTCTAAATATAATTTGCTCATAAGAAAATCTAGCAGTTACAAGTAGAAAAATGCTATTGGTTCCTATGAGCTGGCAAATCATTATATCAGATAATTAGCCACTGATTAAATTATCACATCCTTTGCCTTATCAAACAAATAAACTTACAACAATCATGCTATTACCCCTAATGCTTTTACCAATTTTTCCTTACCAATCAGTGTGACACAAATGACTAGGAAAAAAAAAATAAAAAATCAATGTGGCACAACTACAATCATTTGATGATTAATATATCTTAGTGGGATCCACTAATTCAATGGATTGCATAGCATTGGTTAGGAAAGTTGATCGGTGTAGCAGTATTAATGTTTTCTTTTTTTGAAAAATATAAGGGGTAATTGCACCGGAGGTTTCCAAATTATGAAGTTTGTCTCATTTTGTTTCCTAATGTTTCAATTGCATTATTTTAGTCCCTGAAATATTAAATATATTTTTTTATGGTTTCTCAAGCAAACAATATCCAGATTACTACCAATTTTTATTATAAACTTGTCACGTGATACTTAAATAGGGACAAAAAAATAATTTAGATAACTCTTGACCAAATTTGTATTTAAATTTTGGTTAAATAGTTACGTAAATTACATAATTTTGATCATAAGTTGGCTACGCATAATACACATTTTTTTGTCAAGAGCTATCCACATTTTGTTTAGGAGCTATTAAAACTATTATTTTTCTTATATTTAAGTATTACGTGACAAGTTTATGATAAGAAATCATTACCAATCTAAATGATATAATTAAAATATTGAGAACTAAAATAAGACAAATCCTATACTTTGGGGACCTCCAGTGCAATTAACCAAAAATATAATCTCCATGCCAAAAAAAAACAAGCAACATTAGGCTCTCTTAATGAATCAACTAAAGTTGCTTCCTCTAGGGTTTAGTCCTCGGATTCTTTAGAGAAAGAGGAGCTACCACTAACAAAATGACTATATGCAGCTCACGTTTGGGCTGGGCCAATCTCTGCATATATTTATAAGAGAAAATTAAGTGTGGGTATACTTTTTAGGTCTTATTCGACTATAAGTTTTTAGTTGTACCATATAAGTAAGTCCTAAAAATCATGATTCCAAAAATAATGGAACCAAAAATATTATTTTGATTCAGAAATTAAAATAAGCGATCAATGCTGTGATTGACTATTCCGATAATGGTGGTGAAGGAACTATTCCAGTGATCGAAGCTTCAAACCGAAAGATCTTCAAGATGATTATGTAATTTGATGATGCACAAATTGATATTGCACAAAATCAAAAGTCGAGTATATCAAGAGACACAATTAATGAACAGTAAATAGACAATCAGTGGCAAAATAGTAAATAAGGGAATCAACACCAAAATTTATAGTGGTTCGATCTGGGTGACCTACTCCACTTTCAGGAACGGCAGCGGTGGCCGAAGATCTTTATTAATGAATAATGTCACCGAAAGATTAACTTCGAGAGTATTACAATACTTTTAGGAGAGAGAGAGAGAGAGAGAGAAGTGATGGGTGTAGGCGTCGCAAGGTCAAGTCAATATGTCTCTCCTTGTGGAGAGAGCTTACATTATATAAATTTAGTAAGGCGGTGATGTGAGGCTTCCCTTGACTTGGGCTCCTCCTCGACTTTGGCTTTTCTTGACTTGAGCTTCTTCTTAACTTGTTGACTTGGACTCCGAGATGACGTGAGCCTTTATTAATTAATTGGGCCTAGCCTAATTAATTTCGGGCTCATCACAATCTTCTCCACGATGCCAGATTTCACATTGACGAAGTTAATGATTTCAGAAAACTATGGAGTAGAGAAATTAATGGGATTGTTTCTTTGAAATTCAAAGAAACTAATTAATGTGAAATTTGTTTATAGGTATATCTGACGTCCTTGTCTTAAGGGAAAGTGGTCACTATTTTTGGTGGAGTAATGTTATTGGACCTAATTTACTGACATAATTTGTTAACCTAATTCACTATGACCTTTGGATTCACCGTAGACTCCATCAAACATTGAAACTTGATGTTGATCCAATGATTCTTATAAAACCACGTCATTATGTCAGTAAATTAGGTGTAAATAGTATTACTCTTTTTGGTGTTGATTGAGGGAGTAATGAATGGTGTTTTGGTTTCCTTAGGAAACTGAAGTTTAAGCATTCAAAAAATTATGCTAGAAGGGTGCTATCAACTTTTTCATTCAAAGTGAACTTTTAACCAAAAAAATTTTGAAGGAGAAACTTTTTCTCAAATAAGAGTGTCAATAAGGGGGAACCGACTTCCAATGTTCCCTATTTATAATTTGGGTTGGACTTGGGCTGACTTTGCTCCATCCTAATGCTCCCAATTTGAAACAATGGAATCCAAGAATTATTTTGAAAGCAAAAATTTCAAGGAACTCCTAACTTGGTAAATAGAATATAGAAATTAATAATAGGCTCAGAAGTTTACTTAAAATATGTGAGGACTCAAAAAGCCTCCATACTCATCTTCAAGTGTTTGGGGAAGATCCCAATGAAAGATTGTCACATAAGGTTGTATACCTGCGCATTCAAACCCAAAAAAAAAAATTGTCATAGAGAGAGAGAGAGAGAGAGAGAGAGAGAGAGAGAGAGAGTAAACCATTTGATAGGAGGTCATTGATGAGATTGTTATAGAAGGCAAGACCTTCTTTGTTCACTCCTCTACTTAGCTTCCCTCCTGAGTAATGAAAATCCGAAAGGATATGTTAAGAAAAAACATATTAATGTAAAACAGTTAGCGGCAACTTTAGGCTATTAGCGGCGACTTTTTGTGCCACTAAAAATGTCGTTTCCTGTGATCTAGACAATCATGTTAGTTATCAAAAACATGTATTACACATGAATATGCTAAGTGAAAACTATACTCTCACCACCAAGGCCTTCAAAATGAAACATTTATACTAACATTAACACACATGCAGATTGAAAAATACTATCATGATGAAATATTTCGTAACTCGTTTATGACCCACATAAGGAATAAGTTATCCAAGTTACTAGGTCACCAACAAATTTCACGCAGTGGATTAATTTTTTACGAATTAGTTTTAATTATTGCCCATACTCTCACTAACCCTTCAATTTAAAATGTAAATATAAGTACCAAAAAAAAGAGTTTCTTTGAAAACTCCATTATTTGAAAACTTTTTAAGGAGTTTTTTTTGGGTACAATCAATGTACCACATCTTAATTAGTTATCGATTGAGCATTAATAATTTTACGCTACTCCTATAATAAAATCACAGTTGACACCACTGATTTGCGGAAGGGGAAGGATTGTCTTACGAGGTAAGAGTCTAGGCCATGAGATGGAGAACCTGAAAGCATTCAGTCCTACATACTTCATCAGTTGCACATCTCCCTGTCACATTAGTAATAGGTAATTAATGTACCATTTCGTAATAATTTTTTAAAAAATAAAAATATTAATTATTATTTTAGATATTCCAGAAATATTTGTGGATCTTTTTTATCACTGTTGTGGTACTCTAAAAACAAGAAAAATAATTACTACAACAGTGGTAAAAACATCAATAAATATAGTAAAAACATTCATAAATATCATAAAAGTTTTTATATTAAAAAAAGTGGTAAAAATAGTTATCACAAATGTAATAAAAACACCTATAACAATGATAAAAATACTCATAAAAGTGATAAATCACAGACAAAAATAATAAATTTTTTTTTATATAAAATAACTCATAAAAAATATAAAAATAATTATTAAAATAATAAAAAATAAAAATACGGTACCAAAATTATTACTTTGGTACCATTGTCATGTCCCTAAATAAGACAAGTCAAGAAGAGATTATTGTTGGGACCATAACAAAACATCACCCTGAATCACTGACAAAGATAAGAGAATCAATTTACGGATTTTCTTGTCAACTTGGCATTGGGACAACAATGGTGATTCACGATCTTGACCAACACCTGATTGAATCTTATCTTTTTTAAAGACGAATATTTTCCGTACTAGTTTTACTAGGTTATCCAGTAAACTGAACTTCACTCGGCAGCACCAAAAAAAAAGAAAAAGAAGACAGTGCATTCACCTTTTTTTTTTTTTTTTTCATCATTTACATTCACATGATACATAAGTAAATGAAGACAGGGGACAACACACACACACACACACACACACACATATATATATATATATATATATATATATATATATATATATATATATATATACTGACATTATATTTAATTCTTGACCATATTTTAAAGGATTTGATTACTGGAGAAAAATATTGGTACCATATTTTTAATTTTATTATTTCAAACTCACAAAAAAAAAAAAATTATCACTTTTGTGAGTAATTTATCACAGTTATAATATTTTAACTACTGTCGTGATAATTATTTTTATTATTTTTTTTTAATACAAAATAATTATCACTATTTATTAGTGATTTATTACATTTGTGAGTATTTTTACCTCTATTGTGATAATTATTGTTATAGTTTTTCCAGTACTATAATAGTAAAAACATTCATAATTGTGATAAAAGTTGATATTTTACCGAATTTTGTTTCCTAATATCGTAGATGACAACTATTTTAAATTTTGGAGTACTTATGATTTATCATATCTTGAATGATGCCCTTGGGCTCTCGAATTCTAATAAGGAAAATGCTATTTGAATTTAAAATATTTATTTGATTTATTGACTTAATTAATAACAGGTATTGAATATGTTATGAATCCTAATAATGATAATAATTGATTAAATTAATAAATTAAGTTCATATTATATTGCTCTTCTGTCAAAGAACATGTCAACGACATACAATGTGAGTAGTGTAGTTAATAGTACTAAGGGAAAAAAAATGATACCGTTTCATTATTTATAACTTTTATAGATATTTTTATAATTTTTATAGGTCACAAAAGAGTTTGTTATAACCACTCAAAAAAATTATAAAAAGACCAAAAAAATTATAAGTTTTTTTTGTTATAAAATAACCCAAAAAATTGTAAAAATTCTATTTGAAGTTATGACATTTGGAGGTACGACACTTTTTTTTTTTGGGTATCGTAATCTTCTCCACAATGTGGCATCGTACTAGAAATTTTAAGTGAATATAGATTAACTATAATTTATTAGGGGTCAAGTAATACCTTTGTGCTGTAATCCCACTAGATTTAAGTTGTGATTGCGGTTGTTTGATTCGTGTTTTTATTTCATGTTTCATGTTATATGTTTTTGTTTTATAAATTGTGTTAAGTCCGAATTACCCTCCCAACTTATCTACTTTGCACTCCTAATACTAAACACATAAATAGTAGATAGTTTTATTTTAAACTCACACAAAAAAGGAAAAAGGAAAAAGGAAACAGGGAAGAGGAAAGAGGAAAGAGGAAAAACATATGCGCAAGAATCAAAATTTAGTTTCGGTGCATTGTTTTGATCACTTAGAAAATATAAATGTTTCGATATGTTTCAAAAATATTTTGACCTATTTCTAAAATATGAGTTAAAATATACCAAAATATCTTGAAATACTTTAAAACATTCCGAAACAATACCATACCTAATAATGTCAAAAACATACCATACCTTATAAAGATGATAGAAGTTGTTTGCTACATCTCCATTACTCCTGTTCAATATTTTGTCTGCAATGACACCACACAATTGAAAAATGTGTAGAAGCTATCAACACTCAACCCAACAAAATAATTTGTGACATTAATGAAAATAATGTTAATGATCAATAACTTGAGTTGATGTTAATTATAAACGGGTCAAGTAGATGTTAAAAACCCAAACACAATACACGTAATAAATGGGTAAGTTAGGTTAATTAACATGTTCACCACACGATTATCATAAGCCTCAATTGAGTACACTAATTTCATATTAACTATAAATTGAGGTAATAAGTTGTATAGTGCCCAAATTGAGGTAATAAGTTGTATAGTGCCCAAATTCTAGGGGATTGTTACTTGTTTAAGCTTGACTCGAGATTGCTGTCAAATTATAAGTTGACTTTCACTGTTTAGTTTTAGCTTGACTTGTTTTTGCACTCTAAACTCGAATCCAAGCTTAAACTAGAACAAATCTGCAAAAAAAAGAGACAAGATTAATGAGACTGGAACTCACAATCTATGGTTAAAAACAAGCTCGAAAATATCGATTACCAAGCGACACATTGATCAGCCACGACTTAAAGGAAAATACGAAGCTAGAAAATGGCTGCCGTGAGAAGCAACAAATGCAGAAGTTGGGTGTATAGATAAAACAAACGCTGATCCATTAAAGTGATATGTTTGACATTCAATTCCGAGAACTAATTTTCTTAAAATAAGGGTAAGATTGACTACAACTTAACTCGAAATCTCTCTGGCCCCGATATGAACGAAAATAACAAACATAAATTTCGAGATCTAGAGAGAATAACCTGGTGTCGAATATACTTGGGCCTTTCCCATCTTCATTTGCTGCACCTTCATACTGAAACCACATGTAGAAACATTTTGGTCATGTGTGAAAATGTTGCTTGAATGGGGATGCAAATTCATCGAAGTGTTAATGAAGAGTTGAGTTAAACTATTCGAGCCCAAGCAATGACTTTTTCGGTTCCTCTAGACTTGTGAAACATATGTATAAATGAGCCTGGGCTTAGACTTGACTCGTTTAGTTTTGTGAAAGAATATTTAAATTAGTCTATACTCGTAAACAAGTTGAGCTTTATATTGAAGATGAGTTTGAACTAGAATTTAAGTACAAACACAAGTTTGAGTTTGGGAAAAAATAAATTTAACGAGTCAAACTTGAACATGCTGCCTTGGGTCGAGCTCGAGATCTTTTTGCAAACAACCCTAAACTTGAAGTTCTGCATTTTGGGCAGTAAATGATAATTAAGTTCAAATTTTTACCTGGTAGGCAGATGAGGATGCTCCAAAGGCAAAACCAGGTGGGAAACTACTACGGTTAAATGAAGAGGAAATGAGTTTTGCTGTGGCAAGCTCTCTCTGATACAGAGAGCTAGCTAGGACTAGGAGGCAAAATAGAAGTGAGCCTAGATTTGCCATGGCTAACTATGGTTTCAAGGCTCTCTCTCATAATCCCCTTTAAATAGACCGATGTTTGCTCGAGGAAGCGACGTGGATGCTCTAAACTCTATATTTTTATATCAAAAATGTTATTTGAACCTAAAAATTTAACATAATTTATTGACTTAATGACATAATTTCATTAGAATCATTAGATTAACACCAAATTTTAATGTTTGATGGAGCTCACAATTAATCCAAAAGTCATAATGAATTAGATCAATAAATTATGTCAGTAAATTAGGTCCTAATAACATTACTATTTCTTTATTTCTTTTGAATATCAATACTGACAAAAAAATAAGATTAAACGAGGCTCTTTCTCTCTCCCCGTCTCTCTGACTTTTCTTATATTATATTCTCCTCACATTCGATGTCAAATAAGTTTTTTTAATTTTGCACAAAATTTTTAAACTCATTAAAAATTTTGATGAAATGAATTCAAGGAAGTATTATCGACAATGTCGCGATATCATTTGTTCTTTATTTTTATCTATCTAGCATTGCCTCTACCAATATATAATAAGCATGTGCTTTTTATCTTGAATGTAAAAAAAAAATTAATAATCAAAAAAGGACATTTAATAAAACTCAAAACGTATCATGCTTGAGTTTCAACCAAGCAACTAACAAAACAATTTTAGCCATGACACATTAATAAAAGGGTAAAATATATTTTTGGTCCCTAAATTATGCGTTTTGTGTCAATTTAGTCCATTAATTTCTCAATTTATGTCACTCGGGTCCAATTGAAAATGACAGTTGGAATTTATTAATGGTACGAACATCTCACGTGATCACATTTGAAGCATATTTTTTAAAAATTTTAGCGAACAAAGTGATACAAATCTGAACTTGAAGGATTAAACTAATACAAGTTTGCGGTCACGTAAATATATTTGTTAGTTAATTCAAATTATCGTTTTCAATGCAACAATTTAATTAGTTGTGAATTCCAATATTAAATAGAGTTCACTTCTAATTCAATAATTATATTAAATTAGGAGCTCAAGATTAAATCCAAATAGCTAGCGTTTTCCATGTAATAAACTCCACTTAAAAGATAATATAAAGGAAATACTATACTTACTAAAACAATTATCAAATCTTTCGTATCAAATGATGTGACATAATTTTTGTTATTAAATATTAATAAGACTCACTTATTTGATGATAAAAAAAAATGCTACATTATTTGGAACGAAGATTTTGTAAAAATATTTGGTAAGTAAAACATTACCTATAAATATTCAAAAGAATAATAAGTAATACGGTACCGAGAATTTAACGTACAAGAGTAATGCGTGGCACAGCGCAGCGCGTGAGTCCAATCGTCTTCAACGACCCAGCCAGTCAGTCAGCTCAGTCAACTAAAAAGCATACATTGAACTCATAATTTTAATTATAGTAATACTACGATGATCAAAATTAGGAATTAAATAAAGATTTCAAATAATATGATAATTGATTTAAAAGGCTTATTAGGCAATAATTAGTCTAATCAATTTTTCAAGTCAATTATTATGTCATTTGACAATTTTATTAAATGACATGACAACTAATTTAGAAGGCTGATTAAACTGTCATGTCATTTGATCTTTAATTTTAGTCAATATAACATTACTATTTTAATTAAAGTACAAATTTAAATTTAAATAACATTTTAAAAAAAATAAGTTTGAATGAAAAATGTGTTACAAGACAAACATCTTTTGTAGGGTAACCCATCCTCGGAGTTGAGACATATCATTTCAATTGACTGTAAGTATGATCCGTTTTCTTAATGAAATTTTTACTTCCCAGTTAAAAAAAAAAAAAAATTATGGGAGGCTGCAAGTCCACCTCTCTCTTAATGTTATGGTTTTTAAATTTTTTTTTTTCAACAATGAGGGTGTCTAAGCAAACTTATGTGTAACTCAACTAATTCTTTTTTCGGTCCGGTCAAAAGCTAATGATCTACGCTGGAATTAGGATATTCATGAGCGATAAATCTCTCATGATCTAGCATTAAGGAGTTGTCAAGATTCAAATTCAAGATATCTAAATTTACAGTTCAAATCAAAAAAAATTATAATATTGTAGATAGTTTGATAAGTGACTCCTATTAATTTTTTTTTTATCACACCCACTAGTTCAAATATACACATTTATTTAATTTATTTTTCAGTACAATTGTTTTGATAAGCATAATATTTTCCTTAAATGTTCAGCTTGATGACCCCGAGTCTTAGTTTTATCCATGAAAACACGAACACGATACAAATTTGATAATAAACATGACAAACAATTCATTTATTAATAAAAATAATAAATAAATTAAATTAGTGTTAGACATGTATAATTTGTTTTGTGGGTACATAAAAATTCTTTTAGATAGTACATAAATTTTTAATGATTAATTTGGAGTAAAATATATTAATATCTCATAACTTAGATCAACGACACACACACATACACTGAACCCTTAAATAGATAAAGAAATTTCCAAGAATCCCAGGGGAGCTATTAACTGATCGGCATTAATAATAATTTGGATAATTTTAAAAATAAAGGGCAAGTCGTATTTACTTACTAGCCCCCCCCCCAAAAAAAAAAAAAAAAAAAAAAATGAGTCAGTTAACATGGTGAGGTGAAGCGTACCAAACCACTTAAATCTTGTATTTTAGTACTTGAATGTTTACCTCTCTGCACATTCACAACATATGGCATTATATATCTACTCTTATTTTGAACAATGTATATAATAAATCAATCAAATTCTTTATTATCACAAGCAAGAGATTACAAACATGACAGTTTTATTATGGTGAAACACAATAGAGAGTAGAGCTTTGATGACTTCCTTATTTAATAGATCCAATTGGAATATTGGTGCAGATAACCTACTATTTGAGGACAAACTTCTTGAGCCAAAGAGCAGAATATTTGAGATATCTCTTCAGTCCATCATTGAAGTCCACATAGACAATGCCAAACCTCATGGTGTAAGCAGAGTTCCATTCAAAGGTGTCCATAAATGACCATGCGAAGAAGCCCTCAACAGTCACCCCTTCCATGCAAACATGCCTCTATTAGTATATGTACACTTTGGTGTTTTTTTGAGTTATTTTTTAGTAAAAAAAACTGAAAGGCTTACTTTACAAATAATATTTAATATATGTGCAAAAGTATATTAATATTCATAAAATAGAGGAAAAGGGCAAAAAAGATCAAGAAAAAAAGAGCAAAACAAACGCTACTTAAAACAAAGAAATTAACAATATCCTTGAAAAGCATTATTAAATAGACTATATATATATATATATTTATATTTATTTATTATTATTTTTTTTTTGCTAAAAGCACTTTCAAATCAAAAATTTGTGTTTTCTTGAATATATATAAAAAAAAATATTCTCAAAAGAAAATGAAGAACTTGAAAAATTTTAGTACCAGAATAAAAGATTGAGATCTTATTCCTTATACTCTCGATTAATGTTTGATGACCATTGATTCAAATGGGACGCACTATTTATAATTGGGCCCCTCACCCATATATGTTGAGTGACAAATAGAGGTGACAATTTTAACCCATTACCCATTAATTCGTCAAATTCGTCCATAAATAAATGAGTTGAGTATTTATATTAATTAATATGAGTTCTAAATGAGTTGAGTAATATGATTCATTTTATTTAAGCGGGTTAATATGAATTATAAATGAGTACCCATTGGGTTGAGTGTTTATTTTTTTATTAAATAACACAAGTAATAAAATTAAATAAATATACTAATATATTAAAAAATACACACACTATTGCACCGAAAAATACACACATATACACTAATACATCAAAACATACACACACTAGTACACCAAAAATATATACATTAATACACCACCCATGACCCACGGGTTGACCCATGACACATGAATTAACCCATAACCCATGGGTCAACCCATGACTCACGGACCAACCCAGAGCCAACAATCGACCCCGACCCATTGTGTATATATATATATTTTTTATTAAATGTGTTTTAGTTTTTGTGTTAGTATATGTGTGTATTTTTGGTGTATTAGTGTGTATTTTAGTGTATTAGTTTATGTGTATTTTGGTGTATTAGTGTGTGTGTGTATGTTTGTATTTTGGTGTACTACTAATGTGTGTGTATTTTGGTGTACTAATATGTCTATTAAGAATTTTAATTATTTCATGGGTTAATCGGTTTAACTCAACCCGTTATAAATTCTACCCATTATAACTCATTTACTACGTGAGTGAAAATAGATTAAATTTATTTCAACTCAATCTAATTTTACCCAACCAATAACCAATCTAACCCAACCCATCCATTTATCACCTCCAGTGACAAACCATTAAGTTAAAATCAAGTAAAAGTGTAATATTGTAATGGACATAACTTGAGTCAGAGAATAATGCCTTATTGAAAAACTTATTTTTTTTTTGAGAGGGGAGGAGGACTTGAACCCTTAACTTCAGGAAGATAAAATCTTCCGAAAGTAAGCAGTACTATTGGACCAAAAGCTCATTAATTTACTGAAAAACATACAGTACAGTTAAGTTAGAGAAAAAAAAAAACCCCTCAAAAGCATGTAGAGTAAACTTACATGATGGTTTCTCGAAGGGCTAAACGATGGCAATGGTAGAAATTATTTTTTTGTAGATCCTTGACGCCTTCTTTAACGGTGGTATTATTGGCATCACCCATCCTTGGCAATGATTCAACACACAACACCAGACAAACATATCATTTTATTGTAAGCGACGAGTCTAGATCTAATTGGACTAGATTCAATAGATTAAGTAAGCCCAGATCCATTAAGAAGGCAGCCCAAGCCCGATTATCAATCCGACCTAGTCCAAAATCCAAAGAGTCTATGAAGAAAAGAACACGTGAGAGAAAGATCATCGGAATACACACTCTCGAAGATCAAGACTACCTTAATTATACTTATTTTTTGTAACTATCATCCCTGAACAATTAGTACCTTCACACTCATATCACTACCTCATCATGCCTATAAATTGTAAGCTCTCTCCATTGAGAGGGGCATCTCACCACACCTCTCTACACACACATAGCTTCTCTCTCTCTCTCCTAGCAATTGTATCTTTCCCGAAGCTAACCATTACTCTTTCCTCCGTTCATTCTACTTCATCAATAAAGACCCCCTGACCACCGTTGCCGTTTCCTAGAGTAGAGTAGGTCACCCGGACCGAACCAGTATATATTTGTGTGTTGACTCAATATTTATATTATTGCCATTGATTGTTTTATTTATTGTCCATTAATTACACCTTATCACATACTCGACTGTTGATCTTGCACGAGACTATTTTGTCATCATCAGTTTGATGCCGTTTGGGGGAAACAACTAAGTTTTCTAAAACAATTAAGTTTTCTACTACCTTGATACTCTCTTCAAATCTATGGCAATGACGACCAGGTCAATGAATCAACAACCGGGAGACAACAACTCAGCTCGCCGAGAGAAGGCTCCACCTTCGCTTGTATCAGTGAAACCATTTATTGTAGCAACCCCTGTGGTCGGGCAACAGCTCTTAGAGATCATGTAGTTCTAATTATTTGTTTGTTTTTGTTTTGCATGTGTGTGTATGCTATCAAAAAATTAATTTTTCATTTTATTGGTTCTATTCTATTAGTTACTTCAATTTTGGGAATGTGTGTTTGTTGTGACGAGTTGATTTCAAATTTTTTTGGGTGAGTAATTTGATGATTACATTGGTGGATCAAGTTTGTGGCTTTAGGCAAAAATTCTGTCCATACTGGGTGTTGTTGGTTTGGTCTTTAATTTGTAAGTTATCTTAGGTAACAATTGACTTTTCAATTGAATTTGTTACTGGTTGGTCGTTATACAGAGTACACACTATTTTTTTAATGTTCCAAATGAGAGTGGTTTTAAACATCAAAAAAAAAAAAAGAGTGGGTTTGAGGTTCTTTATGTCGTGCAATCATGCTTTGATATCTTCATTGCTACATCTTTTTTTAGTGGATGATGTTTGTGAGTGTGCATCTTTGTGCTATTATTTGACGCGGAGTTTTTTGTAAATGCATTTGTATTTAAGGTTCAGTTCTCAATTACCAAGTGATCTCAAAATTTTTTTGCATCGAAATTCTACCCGCACTCTAATGTATCACTTTCACTGGGGCACATATTGGACTGGATCATGGAATTGCTAGCCCAGCAACAATCTTGCTGCACATCGGGTATCTCTTACTTCTTGATTTGTAAGTTTCCTATATTGTCAATGTTATATATCAGCGGTCACATTATATTTTTTTTATGAGCCTTTGTTGCTTACTATTCAAATTTTATAAGCTTTTGATGCTTGGTTAACCAAGCATATTCATATATTTTTTAAACTTTGGACGTTTGGTTAACAAAATTTTATTATTCATATTCATGATTTTTAATTGGTGCAATATCGACTCCTGCCCAAAAAAGAAAGATGTCTAGGAAATTTGTGGTGGCTACAAGAGTGGCGGTGCTTATAGATTGTAAATCATGAAATTTGCATTGGCTAAAAAGCATGCCAGATTTCTAGCTTTTTATCTTTGGTTTTCAATTTTTCTTTGATTTCTATCCTGTTTCTCCACCTCTCATTAGTTTTTCCTTGCAGGATTTTTTGATTCCACTGATTTTTGATGAGTGAGTAGAGCAACTGGGTGTTCTACCATACAAGTTTTCATAAGAAAGGGTAGTCAAATATGTTGTTTGTTTGGTGAAAAATAGCTCATTTATAATAACTTATAGATCTTTCTCGGAGTGTGATAGAATGTATTGTTGAGTTTTGGGTACAATACTTAGCTCTAATTGTTTGAATGAATTCTTAAGTGTCAAATTTTGTTTAGTTTTGCCGATTTGCAACTATTTCCTTTGTTAGTAATTGAAATGGGGCCTTTCACTACCTCCCGGCGGAAAAAGTACTCTTATTAGCTTAGTGCAAGGGATTTGTGCAAATATTTTTCAATCCATTTCAAGGGAAATGATAATATTTCTTTTGTTCATCAGCATACATTGTTTGAATCATTAATGATTGAAAAGAATCAAGGGCTCTTGATTTGTTTGTTGCTATTATATTATATTATATTGTGTGTTTGTTGGTAAATGGTTGTATTAAAGTCAGAATGTAGCGTGATGGTGAATTTAATATTTGATTTAGGATGTGTCTTTTTAAATAGGTCAATTTGATTGTTGTATTGTTAAAATTATTTTATACATTGTCTTTATTTATAAACAAATATTTACAATTTTTTCTGAGTAATATAGTGTATTTAAATACGGACAATTACTAGTATATATATATATATTTTGCTAAAAGCACTTTTCAAATCAAAAAATTGTGTTTTCTTGAATAGAAAAAAAAAAGAAAAAGAAAAATCTATTCTCAAAAGAAAATAAAAATTTAATACTTTCACTTAATGATAGATGACCATTGATTCAAATGGTACCCACTATTTATAATTGGGCCCTTCGCCTATACATGTTGAATGATCTACCATTAAGTTAAAATCGAGTGAAAGTGTAATGGACATAATTGAAGTCTGTGAATAATGTCTTATTGAAAAACCATATAGCCTAGTTAAGTGAGAGATAAACCTTAAAAAACATGTAAAGTTTTTTTAGTAAGTAAGATGAAATTCAAACATATACAAAGTGTATTCAAAGGGATGAATGATCTTCTAGACAGTTGAAAAGAAGATCCTCCATCCTATTACAAAAGGAAACATGTAGAGTAAACTTACTTAATGGCTTCTCAAAGGGCTAAAAGACGGTGATGGTAGAAATTTATTTTTTGCAGATCCTTGACGCCTTGTTTAGCAGTGCTATTATTGACATCACTCATTCCTAATAGTGATTCAACACATAACATCAGACAAATACATCATTTTATTTTAAGTACCCAGAATTTACGTTGTATCATGAGTTCAAGGTAAACTCCGATCCATTGAAAACATTAAAGTAAAAATAGTATGGTGTTAGCCTAGCATCTGTTGGTTGATCATTCAAGACCCTAACGAAGAAAAGAATGATGTTAAAGTATTTAATTCGAAACTAATTTGTAATGGGTCGAGAACGTTCACAAGATTGATATACGAGTTTAACAATTGTAATAATATTGATGTGGGACAAGCTTCAATACTTGTACGCACGTGTGAAACCATTTCACAAGTGGAGGGCTAGATAGAAAATCCAAAAGAAAATATAAGACCGTAATAAGGTGCACCAATAGCATGGACAAATGTATAATAAATTATTAATAAAAAGAGAGTCTAGTTCTAAAAGTATCAAAAGCATCAAAAGCCTATCCATGATACCATGTTAAATCATCAAACGCCGAATCAATTGACAACAGATGGAAAGCGAAGAGACTGACATGACACAAGTATTAATTTGGACGTAAATATATCGATGTGAGATAAATTCTGATGCGGGATCTGATCATTGTCTTACCACACTCCGTAAGGTAAATGGTTGGGTTGTTGTCTTTTCCTCTGTGCAGATAAGAAGCTCTCGAAGCCCATTTGGATAATCAAAAAAAGGTACTCACACTAGTTTACAAACAATTTGTATCCAGTTATGGAATTGAATTAGAAAAAAAAGTACAGTAATGCAATGTAACGTATAAAATTGCCTTATGGCTGCCTATATGAAAATAAATAAATAAATAAATAAACTTCTTACAAATTGATTTCTTTTGATGTTTTTGAAATACTTACCGGATCACCGAAGGTTTTTCCATTTCTGTAAGCTGTGAAATTACAAAGGAAAACAATGTTATAAAGGTTAAAGTTAAAGGAATTTTCGACAATACCTTTTAATAGTGTATTAAAAGTTATAATCCAATCAAGATAAATTATGAACATAAACAACCAATTTACGACTTGACCAAGTAAATTTATGAATCAATCTAGAAACCTAGGGATTAATCTCAAATTTTTCTTGGACAAATTTCAAACTTTTAGACCTTATTGAGTAGTAGTTTCAATCTCATTGGTCGTAATTTTTTTTCAGTATGATACTGAAAAACTATTTTCTCATTTATGAGAACAAAACTCATGTATTTTCTCACAGTTTACACACCAAAGACCAAAAATTATATACAGCAGGCTTCTTTAATGTTTGGTTGTGAACTTACTTGTAAGATTAGCGAGTGAATCTGTAGAGTAGCTGACATTAATACTATTGGCAAAAGGAACATTAGATGCATAATTTCCAGTATAGTAATTTAGCCCAAGGAAACCAAAAGACCCTTTCACCATCATAGCTTGCTCAGCCATAAACGTCGGTAAATGTCTTCCGACGAAGGTACGCATGCTTTTTGGATAGTCGCCATAAGTTAATGGGTGTATAAACCTGTCAAAAATATCGAAATTAGGAACTCATTGAGGCCTATTTATATTCCAGTTCTTCCTTTTCTCAGGAATGAACAAAACTCCAAGGCAGTTTTTTTTGGTATCTTATAAATATCAATATATTCGAATTTGCAGATGGTGAGCTAATAGTATGTAATTCCGTTACATGATAATTTGTTTTTTGCCCACTACGGTTTCTATCAGAAGAAAATCCTAACGAGCTATAACAACTTTCTAACATGTGTATAGTGTAAAAAATTTATTGTCGGTTGTGGATTTCAAATAGTCATTTCTTCAAAATTTGAAGGGTTTTGTATGAAAAATAAAGAAATTCACACCTCTGGTTTCTGTTCCATTACGCTCTGCATTTGTTAGGTTTTGTTGTTACCAACTTACTATTACTATGTCCGTTACCATTGTATAAAACCGATTGACAAAGAAAATATGAGTGTTATGCATGGATCTATTGGTGTTTCGAGTGTCTCTCCGAGCACCTAGATGTGCGTTGACAAACAAGCAGTTCAGTTTTGAAATCGAACTCACCATCCCAACATAAAATCAAGGGCTCGTTGGGCTGCTTTATGATTCGATTTGCTGCTGGAGTAGGGCACCATCCAATGAGTGACGAGAACAATTCCTATCTGGCCCTTTTGAGATGCCTATACAACATCAACTGCCAAATGTTACATAATTTTTTCTTGTAAAGCACTCATGAAGCGGGTCTATCAACAAATATCAAGCTACTAGACACGATGTAAGCGCTTAAAAAATCATTATCACTGTATAAAATATCAAATTTTCTTTTCTTCTATTTCTTTAATTACATAGTTTAAAATTAATTTGCACCAATTCTTTTTTTAAAAAAATCAACTACAATTTTCTCAAAATACATGGCCTCAAAAAATATCAACATGTGTATATTATTGTACATGAACAATTTCTAAATTAAATAATTCAAGCAAAAAAAATATATGGGGATAAAATTAAAAATGCTTGCTATCTTATCATATAGATTTACTGCTCTATAAGAACTATTTTATATAAGATTGTAAATAAATAGAGTTGTTCACGAATAGATCAGGACCAAAACGGATTATCTTTCAAGTTCATTCATTCATAAAACGAACCAAGGGTAAAGTCAATTTGAAAAAATTGTTTAATAAACAAGTTGAACTTGAACAAAAAATTATTTAAAAAACAAATTAATTGAGCTCGAGTAAGAGTTTTTCTATTAGCCTTTGGATATAAAACAAGTTGAGATTAATCTAGAATTGAGTTTAAACTCAAACACAAGTTGAAACTTAGTTAGTTTAATCCGCCAAGTAGAGTTTGAGCTTGGACAAAAAATTAATTAGTCGGGGCTAAACAAAATTTTGAAGCTTGTTACAATCTAGAACTCTGTTTGAGGAAGAATGAACTCAACCCGAATAGTATTGTGTTTAGGTAGGTTCGGGTCATTTGAAGGGTACAAGCATATTTGCAGATTAATCAATAAAAATTGTGTAAGAAAGAATTTTTTGCATGTGCGTTTCATGCAGGAGTTGATGATCTAGGAAGTCTTGCTCACCTGGTATTTCTTCTTGTACAATTTCACAATTGCTGCGTGACCAAGGAGCAAGTGGTGGGCAACCACATAAGGCTCAGTGCCGGAGTCGCCTCCGACGCAACCACTGGACACCTAAGCAGAATAGCGTCCCGGAGCAAGAAAGCCGGTGTCGTAAGCTTGGGAGCTGTATGACCATGGTTCATTAATGGTGGCCCAAAGCTTTACTCTATCACCAAATTCTTTGAAGCACAGCTCTGTAAAGTCCCTAAAGTCATCACTGCTGATGACGTATACCAACGCGGTAGAGTTTAAGGTGAAGGTAATGTGAGGTGAGCGTGGATCAGAGTTACAAAGCTCGTGTATGATACTAACTGATAAAATATTCAGGGGATTGAAGGGGTGCACACAATAAAAATATAGTGGTTCACCAGCTCAGAAACTCGACTAGTCCACTCTTCAATGGAAGTTCTTGCTCCTTCTATTTTATTCACGATGATTACAAAGTTGCTATGACTTCCTCTTGCCATTAGGGTCCTTTCCCTTGTTAGGAGGTGTTATAGTGCATTTATACGGTCATTCCCTGCTAAGTGAAATCCTGGCCGAGATTCTTGCCCTTACTTCGTGGGATTCTCCTTAATTCTAAGAGAAGATCTTGGTTGGTTGAGATTAGGTGCCTTGATTATAGCTTCCTAACGCTTTTAGGAACCTTCTGTGATCTTCCAGTTGTTGCCTTGGTTGTTATTGCCCTTGCTTATCTCAAAGGGACCTCCAGCTCTACTCTTCCAAGTTCTGTTCGTCTAGTCTAACCTCCTAGACTGAGCTGATCTCCTTAGCTGACATTTAGGATTTATTTTGAGGTATCATCAATTGCCCTCCCAACCCTTGCCCTAAGTGAGCTTGTGTATGCGCTGAGCTGCTTTTACCTTGGACCAGACCTGCGCCTAGCTGACCTTAGCCTACATGTGAGATGCACGTGGGAGGGGCTTTTTGACGGTGGCAGCAATCATGGCTCCCTTGGTTCCAGCGCACGCCTCATCCCATGTCTTTCAAGCCTTAAATGCTCAAAACGGCTAAAAGAAAACGTACAAAACCACCGTTCATCTTCTACGCTGTTCAACTTCGTCTCTAGCTCTTTCTCTTTGTGATTTCTGGGCTTTCCTCCACGTGATTCCCTTATTCTCTGCTCTAGATTGTGCTTTCTGGGTTCGACTCGAAGTCCTGCTTTGTTCCTCTCCTCCAATTTTGTTCTTTGGCTGTTGTTTGTTATTCTCTTCCCTGTCTAGGTACGCTTCATTCTGCCCCTTTCTCTTTCTCTTGCCTTTCCTCACTTTGGATCCCTCAACTTCGAGGTGGCTATTATTTTTCTGGGTTTTTCGATTCTTTTTCTTTTGGAATCGCGATCGTTGCCTATCTCCTCTTCCCTGCTTTGTGGATTGGAACTCCACTGTGCGAATGTTTACTATCGGGAGGTACAGTGCTGACCCTAGAATTATCAGGGGGTGTTTAGTTAGTATTCCTCCTTTTTATAATTCTTTCTCTTTGCCTTTCTCTTTGCCAATCATGTCTGCCTCCTCTAGAGTAACTCCCTCCTCTGTTTCCCTCCTACGCGATAGGTCTGCTGAGAGAGATTCTGATTTAGGGGATGTAGGTGATGAGATTGACAACTTCCTCGGTGTTGAGGCTGTCGATACCGAGGTGGACTCCAAGGAACTCCCCTCATCTTCCTCTCATGTATCTCCTAGTGCTGACAAGGGTAAGGGTAAGGTGAGTGAGGTTGGGATTCCTGATAGTATAGCGGGTATGGGGGTTGTCTTTAGGCATGCTGAGCTCGTGGATCCCGGTGGGGTCGATCCTATTCTCATAGAAACTCTTAGTGCTCATTTTGATTTTTCCCCTGGTGTTCAGCCCTGGTGCCCAGATAAACTCACTCCATACGTTGCCCAAGTGCACAAAAGAGTTTGTTTCTTTGTGACCGCTTTCGAGAATGACCTTCGTTTCCCTATGCATCCCTTTATCAAAAATGTTCTGCAGCACCTCAATGTCTACCCTACTCAGCTTTCTCCTAACTTCTGGGGTGTTTTAGTGGGTCTTTTAGTTTTCTTTAAGAAGTATGAGCTTGAGACTCCCACCATTTCTCTGCTTATGGACCTTTTCAATGTCAATCTTACCTCAACTGAGGGCTTTCTATATGTTTCTAGGCGGACCTCATCTAGGTAGATCATCACACACCTCCCGAGTTCTCATAAAGGCTGAAAAAATATTTTTTTTTTCGTTGGGGGTGTCAACTGAGAATACAACCCTGCTGATAAAACAGACACTCTTGGGATTCCTAAAGCCTAGTCAGCCCCAGATAACTTAGGTGAGTTCTTGCCTGACTGAACTGGAGTTTGAAGATTTATGAGTTGTTTTCTTGACCTCTGCATTTTTGGTGTTCCCCCTTTCTTAGGCATTCGACTTGAACTCAACGCCGAGGACAAGCGGGTGAAACTGAAGTTGGCTGAGTGTAATCCAGAGAGGTACTCTGAGCTTCTTAAGCCCTGGGAATTAGAAAGGTAGGGATTCGGCCCTCCTCCAATCCCACCTTCCTTTATCCGACCTGAGGACATAGAAGGTAATGCTCTTTCCCTTATTTGGTTTCTTGCTTTCCTCCATTTCTTTTTCCTTTTGACTAACCAGCTCAAGCCAAATCTCCCAGGGTCTTCTACAATGAAGCCTATCCTTGAGATACTCCAAGCTAAGGTAGAGCTATTGAAGAAGAAAAATAAGGGTGGTACTAAGCGCAAGGCTGAGGGCAGTTCTGGTGGGAGCCCAGTTACTCGAGCTAAGGTTCAGAAAATGGGTACTTCCTCTGCCTCTACCTCTATCCAGAAGGCTCCACCATCCCCCCTATATGCTTCACCAACCTCAGGACTTCCTCTCTCCCAAGGGACCCGACCTGCTACTAAAGATGCTCCTAGACGAGACCAGTCCTCCCCTTTTGCATCTGAAGTTGAGAGGGCCCTGGACACTGCTCGCACTTTCCCTTGTTGTGCTGCTTCTGCATCAACCAAGGAGACCTCCCAACCTCTCATGACAAGCAAATGGGTCTTCTCAAAGTCTAAAAATTCTCTTATTACCAATGGAAAGCGTGCTACAGAGGCCATTGCCTCCATTATCTCAGAGTCTGACATTGATGCGGCCACTTCTGTACCCCTAGGAACTTGTGTTTCCACTGCGTTGTATGGCAGTACCTCGATGAGATTCTAATTTGTCAAATTCTCCTTTTTTTTTTCTTTAGTTGTCCTGCGCTCTTCCCTTTACACTAATATTTCATGCTTGTCTTCAGACTGCCATTCAAATAAGCAGCTTGTTAAAGCGAATCCAAGCCCTAGAGAGGTCGACCAATGCTTCCAAAGCTTTTGAATTGAAGTGTGCCAATCTGGCCTTTGAGAATAATGACCTTATGGTCCAGGTAAAGGAGTTACAAGAGCAAGTGGAGCAGCAGTCTTCCCTTGCCAAGTCCAGATAAGAGGAGCTCAGCAAGACTAAGAAAGACCTCCGGTCAAAAATCGATGACTGGATCGAGGAGAGCCAGAAGTCCCTTGATGCTTTGGATTCATTCAGGAACATGAAGAAGGAGTACGAGGTGCTAGTAGAGGCCAATGATGCTTTCAGGGAAGAGTTAGGGGATGCCAGGGAGGCACTGGAGGTGCAAGACATTACCATCCGGAAGCAAGATGAGCTGATTGCCCAGCTAGAGGATGATGTTCTCACCAGGTGGGCAAAATGGTGGATTGATTTTCAAGGTATAGCTGAAAGGACTTACCCTGAACTGAACTTTGACTTTTCAATTCTCTCTAAGGAAGAGGCTGAGGGGTTTGATGAAGAAGAGGATGATGCTCCTACTCCTCCTGTTTCTGAAGATGTGCCTATAGACTCTGGAGGGCTCATTCCTCTAGTTGAGACTTCAGTTCAAGATGCTTTTGCCTCTTTAGGCATCTCTACTCCTTTAGCTACTGATCCTACTTCTTCCCTCCCTGCTGAGCTGGCCACAAGAGCCTTGGTTGAATCTGAGGTCCTTGCCTCTTTGCCTGTTCTTGGCCCTCCTGAAACTTCAACTGTTGCTGTGCCAGAGAGGTCAACTGCTAAGCTGGAGAGCCCTTCTTCCATTCCTCGTGTTGAGACATCAGTTACTGCACCACAGGGCCCTTCATTTACTCTCCCTTCAAAAATTTAGGATTTGTAACTTTGGGCTAATTATCTCAGAATTATAACATTTTAAAACAAAAATTTCAGAATTATATCATTTTGTATCTTTAATTTACTGCTTATAGCTCTCCTTCTTTCCCTTTGCATTTAATTTGTTGCTCTACTCTACCATCAATCAAATATGATATTCCTCAACTCTTTGCCTCCTTTGCTTCAAGAGGTCATTCAGATCTCCTTGAAGTAAAAAGGTTAGGAATAACTGCTGATGTGCCTAGTTGAGCTTCCAGCTTCTTAACCTGCTTTTGTCGGAACTTTAGCAACTGACCACCAGAGCTCTGGCCTTACTTCATCCCTTAAGGAGCTTCCATTTGCTGACCTGCATAGCTGACCCTTAAGGAGCTTCGATTTACTGACCTGCTTAGCTGACTTGCTCCTAGGCTAAATAACCTCCGAGCTGGCTCGAGGGGACCTTTTGGTAAACCTTAGGATTCATGTGCACGTGTAGCCATTGGTCAGGTTCTCTTTTCTGCTCGTGAGTTCAGCAGATCTGATTAGGTGAAGTGAAGTACTTATAATCATGCTCTGTCCAGTGGTTCCAAGGTCCTAGACTGCCATAGACCACACATAAGGTGACAACCTGGAAGAGCATGCTTAGATGCAACTGCTTAAGTGCATTCACTTCCTCATTTCTGACTTGTTGACCTCCCGATGTATAAGGTTTTGTTTTGACCTTTCTTTTATGCTCTGGACCCCTCCTTGGAGATCTGCTTGTTTTATCCTGTGATGTTGTTGATGTCTGCTTTCAATGCATATCCTTCCTACCAAAAAGGTTCATGATTCCTTAATTTGGAAACCTAGAGACCCACCGACTTAAGGTTTCGTGTAATTAACAACTTCCTAAAAATATGAGGTCTTCAAAGGATTTCTATAAGTATTGACTATCA